CCCACTGACCCCCATACTCCCTCGAACATGTTCCATCTCCAGAGCCCTGTTCTGGCTCTCAGACTAAGAAACTGCTATGCTGTCTTAACTCTCCTCCCAGCCCACCCCCATACTCTCCAGGCCTGGGGACCTCCACAGCCCTTCCCAAAGCTCCTACCGCTCCTCTCCACCATGGCCCAGCCTTCAAGGGTCCTCCCCCACCCTTGGCCCCTGTTCAGCGGGACACTAGGAACATCAGAGCCTCCTGCCTTGTTCAGTCCCAGGACCCTCCACACACATCTATATTCAACTCCTCCAACCCCTCTCTGGCACCTCAAACTCTGACTCTTCTTGCAGTCTGCATCTCTTTTCCTCTGCAGTCTACCTAGTCACCCTCCTGTCAGCAGGCACCCCCAAACTCTCCCCTACCCCTGTAGACCCATTTCCCACAGCCCCCGTGCATGCCCACAGTGCCTTTATCTTGCTGCCTGCATCTTCCCTCCATCTTCCTTAAGCCAAGCAGCTTCCCCACATTTCCACACTCAGGGAGCTGATCTCTTCCCAAGAACCCCCCAACTCCATTCTGCCCCCACCCCCACTTTGTACCTCCCTGCTGGTTCAGAGGCTCCCCTCTCACCCTCATGGTCTCCCTCACTCAATCCCTCCTCTGTTTCTATAGCTCCTCAACTCTTCTCTCCCCTTCCTCCCAAGGAAACACGCCCTCAACTGCCACCGCATGAAGCCTGCTCTCTTTAGTGTCCTGTGTGAAATCAAGGAGAAAACCGGTATGTGGGACCCCCTCTGATTTCTCCCTTCTGGGGACAGAATCCTGTTCTTTATAGGACTCAGGCTCAGAGTTTGATAACCTGGGGCCCTGAGAACAGTAGGGGGTAGAGAAGTTGCTAAGGGGAACTAGGGAGGGAACCAAAACCTGGAAACTTGGGTCTCCAGGAAGACACTAGGAGGGCTGAGAGCTGGCTGTGGGTTCCCTGGGTCCCTAAGTTCATTGGCCTGTATGCTAGGCCTTAGCATTCGAAGCTCCCAAGAGGAGGAGCCGGTGGACCCACAGCTGATGCGCCTGGACAACATGCTTCTGGCAGAGGGTGTGGCTGGGCCTGAGAAAGGAGGGGGCTCAGCGGCAGCAGCTGCGGCCGCAGCAGCCTCCGGGGGCGGCGTGTCCCCTGACAACTCCATCGAACACTCGGACTATCGCAGCAAACTTGCTCAGATCCGCCACATCTACCACTCGGAGCTGGAGAAATATGAGCAGGTGAGGAGACAAGGCTGGAGTGGGTGAAAGGAGAGGCTCCTGAGGGGAATCCCAGGGCCAAAGGGCCCCTCCTCACAACCCACTGGCTCCCACTATAGGCGTGTAACGAGTTCACAACCCACGTCATGAACCTGCTGAGGGAACAGAGCCGCACACGGCCTGTGGCACCCAAGGAGATGGAGCGCATGGTGAGCATCATCCATCGGAAGTTCAGCGCCATCCAGATGCAGCTCAAGCAGAGCACCTGTGAGGCTGTCATGATTCTGCGTTCCCGCTTCTTGGATGCCAGGTGGGGCTCAGAGGCCCAGGCCAGCCCCCAACCCTGGGCTCCTTCCCATTCTTCTCCAAGCCCCTGGGCCACCGTGCAACACAACATGGTACCCTATAGCAGTGGCATTCTCCAGAGTTAGGCAAGATGGAGGCCCTGCCCGAACAGCCGGCCTCCTCACCACCTTTCTCCCTCTTCTGTAGACGAAAACGCCGCAACTTCAGCAAACAGGCCACTGAGGTCCTCAATGAGTATTTCTACTCGCATCTGAGTAACCCATATCCTAGTGAAGAGGCTAAGGAGGAGCTTGCCAAGAAGTGCGGAATCACTGTCTCTCAGGTATTGGGGAGGCTTGGGGAGGAGTTTTCAGGTCAAAAGCTCTCTGATTCTACTGACTGAGGGACTTAACATAAAGTTCTCTACCTGACCCTGCTTTCTGCCCAACACCCCACAGGTCTCCAACTGGTTTGGCAACAAGCGGATTCGGTATAAGAAAAATATTGGAAAGTTCCAAGAGGAAGCAAACATCTATGCTGTCAAGACCGCCGTGTCAGTCACCCAGGGGGGCCACAGCCGCACCAGCTCCCCGACACCCCCTTCGTCTGCAGGTGGACCCCACTGCCATCCTGGCTGGCTGTCTTGCACGCTTCCTGCTTTTGTTCCCACTTCCTATCTAGGCAGGATCACAGCTGAGAGGGGGCCTTTGGGGGTGAGAAGGACCTAGCTGAGATGGGATGGAGATGTCAGGGGACAGAGGCCACTCCAGCGAAGTTACTTCTATCTTCCAGCAAGTGGCCAGGGACGGAGGGGGGAGGCTCAGAAACTGCCTGCTCCTTCTGAGTGTTGCAGTGTTGTCTTATGGATAATTTGCATAGCGGTGCACCCCCAGAACTAGTTCATAGAGCTTTCTGGAAACCAGAGCTGTGGTGAGAATCCTGTCTGCCGTCAAAGGCTGTGTTATACTCTTTTCTAATCCCTTCTCTACTTTCCCCCCACCAAGGCTCTGGCGGCTCTTTCAATCTCTCAGGATCCGGAGACATGTTTCTGGGGATGCCCGGGCTCAACGGAGATTCCTACTCTGCTTCCCAGGTCAGGTGGCCCATCTCCCCTTGAGTAGGGCTTTCCCAAACTCGGTTTCCCTTTCTTCAAGGTATAAGACTCGTCACTGTGTCATATCCTTCTTTGCTGCTTGCAGGTGGAATCACTCCGACACTCAATGGGGCCAGGGGGCTACGGGGATAACCTTGGGGGAGGCCAGATGTACAGCCCTCGGGAAATGAGGGTGAGTGGATACATGAAGCTCTCTTTGTCCAACTCTCACCAGGACAAGAGGGCCTTTTTGCTGGCAGTGTTGTCCCCACACTAGACTTCCCAGAGCCCTGCCCCAACCGTCTCTCTCTTTTTTCAGGCAAACGGTGGCTGGCAGGAGGCTGTAACCCCATCCTCAGTGACGTCCCCGACAGAGGGACCAGGGAGCGTTCACTCTGACACTTCCAACTGATCTTGCCCCTCAGGGCCACAGGGGTGGGGGCTCACAAGGCGACTCTTGAAGAGGACACAGGCATCCAGAGGACAAACCCCAGACACAGGAGAAGCACAAGACAGAGAAGGGCAAATGGGGTCATCCCTTCCCCAACCAGACTCTCTCAGTGCTGGGGGTGCTGACTACGTGGCAGGGAGAATGGGCTCCCCTAAGGGGAGAGTGGGGTCTGTCTCCCTCTTTTTAACTTTTTTTTCAGCCTTTCTCTTCCTTTCTGTCACAAAACCCAGAATCCTATTGTTCAGATCCCTTTCCCTCTGCTGTCTTTCCATCCCCCTCCAACCCCGTACTGTATTCCATTTCTCTCTTTTCTCTGGGCTCCCCCACCCCACTTATCTGCTCTGGGATCTGTGGAGAAGCCAGCCCTGCCCAACCAGAGATGCCAAAACTGGGGACACACCTTCTGGACAGAGGACATGGGCCTTCTGTGCCTCCCCACCCCCTGCCCCTCCAGATGGCTTTATTACCTCATACGCAGCTCATCTTAAACCAATAGAATCGCTCGGTGGACTAGAGTGTCTGACTCAGATATCTACCTCGGAGGGAGTTTCTGCTACTTTAGGGAATTGTTGACTGGGCTTTGGGGTTGAATTTTTTTTGTTGTTTTGTTTTGTTAAGGAAAGAAACAAAACCCTGGGATCCATCTGTATTTTGAAAAGTTTTTGTTGCTGTTATTGGTTCTTAATTTTTAGTTTGGGGAAGTAGATGTTTTTATAAATATATTGACTTTTTTTTTTTTTTTTTTTAATTTCTTGCTTTCCCATGTTAGGGGTGATAGCCAAAGGGGTCATGATAAGAGAAAGGGGAACAAATAGAACTTGTAAAGAGGCCCAGCTGGCTCCAGTCCTGTCCACCAGAAAGTACATTTAGCAGGGCACCAAGCCTGCACCCCTAAAATCACTTAGTTGGATGTTCTTTGCTTATGCAGGCAGCTCTTTGCTGCATTTGCTGTGGAGATAGTCAGGGGCTTGCTCTGCTGACCTGTCCCCACCCTGTGAAATCCTTGACGGGCTGGACTCAAGTAACTGTCACCACCTTTCCCTGTGAGTGACACGTCTTTAAATCTTTTTTTTTTTTTTTTTTTTTAACTACTATTTGCAGATTGGAGGGGGAAGAATGGGGAGGGGCTTATTGCCAAATATGTTAATGTGGGTTGGGTGCTTGTGTTATGTTATCTCCCTCCATTTCCCCAGAAATGTGGCATCTTTTATTCTCAGTCCAAAATCAGGAGGGTGGGGAGAGAGAGGAGGGAGGTTGCAAAAAGCCAGGTATGTGGGAAAGTAAAATCACCAATGTCCCATCCTTGGCCAGAACTCTTACCATCTGAACCCCTCAAACATCCTCAGGATTTTACGAGACTGTCCTAGTGGGGAACCTCTTCTGTCAAAGATCCAGGCAGGACTGAAGGGGAGCAGGTTAGATGGGTGATGGGTGGTGGGTGGGAGGCACGGGCTGGGGGCAGTTCTCTCCTCACTTGTAAACTTGTAGTTTCACAGGAAAAAAGAAAACACATACGCACATACGCACACACACACACACAACACACACACACACAGTTTTAAATAAAGAATTTTCTTTTTTCCCTGGGTTTAGTTGAGAATTATTTTCAAAAACATGAAAAACCCCAGAAAAAAAAATCTTTTTCTCATAAAGCCCCAAACAGGTGTTTTTCCCAAGTTCCCCCAGCCTTGCCCTCACCACCCAGGCCCCAGGGTTCACCCTCACCCCCTCCTCAAGGGAAAAAGCCTGGCCTGAACCCTGTTGCCTAGCAACCTTGCCTAAGCCATATGGGGCTCCCATTGTCTTACCAGGCAAGCCCTCAGTGGTCTCCAGTTGTCTACCAGGCAAGCCCTCCGTGGACTGACGGGATGGGTTGGGGGTCCTGAGTGAGAAGAGACCCTAGGAGGTACACTCCCCACCCCCATGGATATGGCTGGGCCCAGAGACTGGCAGTGCCTAAGGGTGGGGTGATAACTTTCTCCTAGTATCTGAAGTACTCTTGTCCAAGAAGCATGAATTCCTAGCATTCCCTGTGACGGGACAGGACGGGAAGATGGGGGTAGGGGAGAAGGTGCAAGCCCCACCTAGGGCGGTGGCCACAGCAGTGAGGGGCAGACAGAGCAAGGAGCCTGGGAAGGAAGCAGGATGGCAGCAGGGGCAGCAGCTGGAGCCTGGGTGCTGGTCTTCAGTCTGTGGGGTGAGCCACTCCCCTCACACCAATCCTCCCTGCAGAAAGCACTCTGTCCTCCCCAAATCTGCCCAGAACTTTCCTGGAACCTGGGCACTGCTCTTCAAGCTCCCTCACCCACCTTGTCCTAGTTTTATTAGCCCCCATTTCCCTCCTACCCTTCCACCATTGTACTGTCTCCCAGGGGCAGTAGTAGGCGACCGAAACGTCACAGCCCGGATTGGGAAGCCACTGGTGCTGAACTGTAGGGGGGCCCCCAAGAAACCACCCCAGCAGTTGGAATGGAAACTGGTAAGCAGGGCTCCTGTCACAGCTTCCCCACTTCCAGAGAGACCAGTGATGATTTGTATCCCCACCTCCCTGCCTCAGGAGTCCTTTCCCAAA